TTGGGGTTTTGGGGTTTAGGGTGGAGAGCCAGAGCTTCATGCGGGAATCATGAAGACTATACCGGGGTTCAAGCGTTACGTTTTAAGGCATGTTCCGTTGGGCTCGAATATACCGGGGTTCAAGCGTTATGGTTTAAGGCATGGTCCTGAAACTGGGGGTGTTGGGCTCTGGGCCGTTGTTTGACACTTCGCCATCAGGCTGGCTTGGTTCTGGGGCTTCTAGAGCTTGGGATTCAGTAAGCCTACGGTTTAGGGTTTAGGGTNNGGTTTGGGGCTTTGGGGGTTTGGGGACTTGAGGTTTGGGAGTTGGGATTCGGGGTTTGGGTGCCTGAGGGTGTACTTCTGGGTGCCTAAGGTCGCGGGGTTTAAAGCTTAGGGTTTAGAGTCTGGTGGTTGCGGCACAGGGTGTGGCTGGAAATTCGGTCGAAAGCTTCATGAGATGCTTCACTGACTCCCGTACCACTCCCCCAAACTATATCCAAGATAGACCATTATTAGTTGCTTAATACGGCCTTATTCTGGGTCCTCCAGAATAGTGCAGGAATAAGCATGATGAACAAAAAGTCAATATTCCCATACTGTTGATTCTATCATTTGGAAGTGGTCCCTCGGACCAGTGTCCTCGTTTTCTTGCAGTTTTTAGCAGATATATGTGGTTCAAACATTGCGGATTTGTCTTACTTTTCCAGGTCCCACCCCCTCAGGGGAAGCACGCAACGACACGCGGAAGCGGGTTCGCGGGCAAAGTATCCAAAAACTTTAAGCCCTACAAAACCCTTAACCTTTCTGCTCTAGACTCATTCACCCTAAACCCTAAACTAAGGATCAGGGCGGGATTTGACGTCAGAGAGACGCTCTGGAGCTCTGGGGCCTCCCAGGTAAGGTTAATGTCATCATGGTCGCAGACTAAACATACAACGTTTTAGGGTTTGGGGTTTAGTAGGGTTTAGGGTTTAGGGTTTAGGGTTTGGGGTTTAGTGTTTAGGATTTTGAAGTTTGAAACGGGGGCAATCGTCACACGTGAAGCCTCCGATGGCTCACAAGAGGCTCAGTTGGTGGTCGGGGCGGCCAGGACATGGCCCAGGCAAGGGCCCAGACAAGACAGCAGACTGCCCGTCTTGGAATGGCACACAGGATCACACAAGTTGGTTTCAGCAAGAGGTGCTAAGTAAGGCATACCCCAAGTAATTGGAAGCCTGTACGACCCAAACCCCAACATCATAAACCCTTAACCCTCATAGAACCCCATGTAACCCTTGTGAAACCTTTGCAGCAACCATCAAAGTATCCTTGTGGTAGCCGTAGATTCCAAGGTTAGATTTGAAAGAACAGCATCAGGATTTTCAACCCAAGCCGGAACCAGGAATGCCTCGTGGGCTCCGCTCGACTTTTGCTCCAATCCTGCTTCGGGTTTGCGATTTGAGGTTTCAGGTTCAGGGTGTTAGGGTTTTAGGGTTTTAGGGGTTTTAGGGCTTTAGGGGTTTTAGGGTTTTAGGGGGTCAAGGCTTTAGGGTTTTAGGGTTTTACGGGTTTCCGGGCTTTAGGGGTTTTCTGCACCGGGGCCCAATCTTAGGACCTCCGGCTCTGCCCCAGGCGTCGCTGAAAGCCTTGCCGCGGACGGTCCGTTGCCGCATGCGGGAGCCTCAAGTTCCGATGGTGTTTCGCTCATAGACTCCAAACATAAATCCTAATATAGGGGCCTCAATAATTACCTATACTATACTATTTTGGAGGTTCCTTGTTATACTTATAGTATAATGGGCCCCCAAACCCTGTTCTAATTCTTAAAGGCCCCTATATTAAACCCCGAGACCCCTAAACCGCCAAACCTCTGAGCTTTCAAATCCAGCTCACAAGCCTAAACCCTAAACCCCTAGGCCCTAAACCCTAAACCCCTAAACCCTAAACCCTAAACCCTACACCCTAAACCCCTAAACCCTAAACCCTAAACCATCAGCTACCCAGAACCCAAGACCTGACATCCCCAAAGCCCGAAGTTTCACCCCCCCATCCCCAAGGCTTCCAAGATGCCTCTGCGCTCTGACGTCGTCCGCTGCATCGAGGCCGCCGAAAAGGCCTGCAATGACATCTTTAACCGTAAACCCTAGTTCCTGGAGCCCAAACCCCTAAGCAACCCTAAACCCTAAACCCTAAACCCTAACCCTAAACCCTAAACCCTAAACCCTAAACCCTAAACCCTAGTTCCTGGAGCCCAAACCCCTAAGCAACCCTAACCCTTAAATCCCACACCCCCAGATCCTGGACCCTAAGCCCCAAATCCTAGACCCCAAGCCCTAAACCCGAAGCCCGAAACCCAAAACCGTCTGGTGCTAGGAGGGAATGGGGGAATGGATCCCTATGATAGTCCCTTAAGGTCCCTTATTGTAGTCCCTATAACCCATTCCCCCATAGCACCAGACAGACCCAAAAGGCCTGCAACGGGGAGGCGAAGAAAAGCCAGGTCCTCCGGGTGGCTCCTCGGTCCCTTTCAAGGCTTCAGGGTTTAGGATTTAGGGGTTGATGGACAAAATCCTGCATGACCTTATATACCTAAACTATGGGGTTTATGGTATTATACTATATTTGGGTCATGCAGAATTTTGTCCATCAGCAGGAGTTATTCTAAGACTTCTAACGTTGACGCTTGCATTTGCCAGTACCATGTCTTAGGATCCTTCCTATCATAACACCTAGTATAACATACCCAAGGCCGTATTCAAATTATCTAGGCCCCTATATCATGATCCAGGGTTCAGGCTTTTGAGATTTAGGGTTTCTGGATTGGGGGCTAATCTCTGTCGCAGGGATCTCCCTTTAAAGACTCAATACTCGGAACGAGGGTACCCTCAGTCTTCAGAGCATATCGGGGAACCTAGTCCAAAAAGGCAACAAAGAAAAAAGCTGAAAAAAGCTGTACAAAGTCCTTATAAACACAACGCGACGCAAGCGCAGATTGACACTTAAAGAGCACCACGACGACCATGAATCTCACGACCGTTAGGACGACTACAGCGACCCCTACGACCTCTATGACCAGACGACAACGACAACGAGGAGACGACAAGGAGACCACGAAGAACTACCACGAGAAAATGTGGAGCCAGGACGCCACCAGGACACCCACGACTTAAAGGGTCATGGGACTTAGTAAGTAAGGTTATAAGTCCCCTAATTGGGGTTATAAGTATAGTTGCCCTAGTTATACCCCTACTTACTAAGTCCCATGATCCGTTAAGCAGGAGTCCAGGAAACTGCTAGGAGCCTTCAAGTATTGCCGGATTCAGGAGGGCCCAAAATGCCTGTCCACCATACTGGCAGAAATCAGGAGGATTCAGGAGGAATAGTGAGTGCGGCAATGAGTACCGGCGGGATTCGGCGCGGCGCTGGTCATTCCCTGTCTTCACCAGCGCGATCTGCTGCGATTTCAAGGCTTCCGAGGCGAAACGAGTCCGGCTCTCCAGCGCGCGCGGCGGCACGGATCTTATCAGGGTTGAGGGTTTAGGATTTACGGTTTAGGGTTTAGATGCAACAAAAGGCGAGCGCAAAATTATGCGCCGCACCACAGCAGGAGCCCCCGTGCACACGGATCCACTTCAAAAAAGGACCTGCGAGCCAACCCTGCACCGCACCACAACGGGAGTCGCGCATCGGGGAAGTTTTTAGCAAGGGCGCCGTGTGCAGACACTATCCTGATGTAAATTGCGCACAAATAGTGCTACCACGCTGTGTGGGGAAATCTTCAGGGTCATAAACCCTAAACAGACTCTAAACCCTACACAACCATTCACGCCACCCTCCAAACAATAAGTCCTGCATAGACTCCAGACCCACCACCAAGCCCTAAACCCCAAAACCCTAATCCCTAATCCCTAAACCCTAAACCCTAAACCCCTAAACCCTCAACCCTAAACCCTAAAACCCTAAGACCCTAAAGTCCTAAAGCCCTCGGTCCAAGGATCTGGCGCAGTCCTGGGACCGGTCCGTGGAGTCTTTCGGTTCCAAGGCCAAGAAGGCGGAGCCAGCGAAACCCTTTGATTAAGGAATAGACCTCAAGTTCTCAAGGAGAACCCGAATATGACTTAAGGGGTATTCCTTGATTAAGGAATATACCTCACATCACCAAGGGCACCCTAACATGATTTAAGGGATATTCCTTGATGAAGGGGGTTTGGAGTCTCTGGGACAAGGCGGTGACGATCCGACTGGCGTACTTGGAGAACCGGAAGTCTCTGCACGCCTTTGCCCCGGAGAAGGTCAAGAAGGACTTTTTATCCCAGATCCCAAGCCCCAGGCCCCCAAACCCTAAACCCTAAACCCTAAACCCTAAACCCCAAACCCTAAACCCTAAACCGTAAACCCTAAACCCTAAACCCGAAGCCGAATAAAATCCTGAAGCCTGGGAGAAGCCTTCAGCCCCAAAACCCAGTGAAGGAGGTGACCACCGAGCTGCAGCAGAGGCTGGAAAAGCTGGCTGGGCCTGACCTGGCCAAGTTCAAGGCCCGAATTGCGACGACCAGCCAGCCTCGTCGTCCTGATGTCCAGAGCTGCTCGGTCATTGTTGCAGATTCCCTTTGCTTCTTTGGTAGATTGCACCTCCTCGTCGTGGAGAAACAAAAGAGCACATAAAGAGCATCCGTTGTCCTTTCCTAAACCCTAAACCCTAAACCCTAAACCCTAAACCCTAAATCCTAAACCCTAAACCCTAAACCCTAAACCCTAAACTCTAAACCCTAATCCTTTCCATCCCAATAGGGACCAAGGCTTGGGGGGCTGGAAAGCGGGTGACTGGGCCTGGCAGTCGCTTGGGTGCTGAGCAGGCAATCTAGGGGCCTTCTATACGAAGGAATTCGGTTTAGGGTTTAGGGTTTAGGGTTTAGGGTAGACCTTAACCCCAAAGAACCTACTGTTTTAAGGACTTATATAAAGAAACTATAATACGGAGCCCTAAAAAGGTAGGTTCTTGAGGGTCTAGGGATATATAACAAGGAGTCATAAGGAGGAACATAGCGTCATTATTTGGATTCAGGGCTTCGGGTATAGAGCAGCATAAAGTCTACTACAGTACGGTATAGTTTTGTTTCGTGTTGGTATAGCACCGTGCAGTGAGGTACTGTAAAGTACAGCAGAGCAGAGCAGAGTGCAGCAGTGTAGAGTATTGTGGACGAGCAGTAAAGCACCTTGCAGGTTTGTATTGCACAGCAAAACACAGCACAGCATTGCACAGCAGAGCAAACATAGCGCAGCACAGCATAGCGCAGCTGAGCAGAGCGCAGCAGATCAGCGCATAGCAAAGCATAGGGTTGGTGTAGCATCGCACATCACAGCACACCAGAGCACAGCAGCGCATAGCACAGCACAACACAGTAGGGTATGGTATGGTAGGGTATGGCGGGTTAGGGGTAGGGCGTGGCATAGCTCCCCAAGAGTGCCTCAAGCAGACTAACGAGTAAGGCTGAAGGAGTTATTGGGCGCCCAGCTAGACTTCTCCCAGCGGCCCCTCCGTCTCGCCACTGGCTGCTCGGGTGCTGAAGCACCCCACTTTGCTCTGCGGATGCTTGTGGGCCGAGAAGGCTTCTCGGTTCTTGAGCATGGGTAAGTGTAGTAGTACTAGCAATCATCGTCGTATTCACAATAACGAAAAAACAGCAATCGCACCTGTTGCCTCGTAGACGCGAGTACTTTTCAAGACGTGGAAAGGTGACCAAAAACAAACATTTTCGAACATCTAAAGAACCCACCACACCTGAGCGTGCACCCGCAACAGGATCGAATGGGGCTCAACTTTGTTTGCTGCTCCCGGTCGAAGTAAAATACCCAAGCAAGCAAAAACAGTTCAGAAGTAAACTAAAGACCTACAAAGCGTGAAACGACAGTCGTTGAGCACTCAAGAAGGTTCGGGCTTTAGGATTTAGGGTTTANNTTAGGGTTTAGGGTTTAGGTTATTTTCAGATCTGTAAACTTAAACCTTCAGGCACAAACCCCGGGGTGCGAAACTCTCAACCCTGCGGCCCTTAGCTCAAGGCATCCAGGTCCTCAACATAGTTTCAGGTATGTTCCCTTGCTTCATGGATTCTGGAGCTTGTTCGGCTAGGGGCCAAGAAACCCTAAACCCTAAACCCTGAACCCTAAACCCTAAACCCTATACTATCCCGAGAAAGGCCCC